GACTGCTCTAAAGTAAAACAAATCATAGTGACGTTTATAGCCCTCTGATCCAGGATGAGGAGTAAAGTCTGTCTCCATCATAGAGAAACCTGCATGTGTACCAAACAGTCCTCCAGACAAAACATTAAGAGATAACGTATAAGTAGACCCTCTCTGAGACCCTGAAAGAGGAAAGAGTCCCATGAGACAGAAAGAGAACCTTTAAAATACGCACTGGTGGAAAGTTACCAGAGAGAAGTGAATAAAGTGATTATACACAGACTGATTTCCCTCACAGGGGCTTATTAATGATGCCATTCTCCTGTGTGTAGGGAGTCCTTCCCGTTTGACCAGCAGTTCAACATTTTGATGAGGTTTATCGTGGACCAGACTCAGACTCCAAACCTCAAGGTAGGGCAGAGGCAGAGGGCAGGCTGTGGGGGGGCTGCCCCCCCGCCGGGCGCCTGAGCTCCAGCCGCTGCGTCCCCAGGTGAAGGTGGCCATCCTGAAGTACATCGAGTCCCTGGCTCGCCAGATGGACCCCACAGATTTCGTGAACTCCAGCGAGACGCGGCTGGCGGTGTCCCGCATCATCACCTGGACCACAGAGCCCAAAAGCTCAGACGTCAGGAAGGTAGGCTTCTCACAGACGGACGGTGGGGTTTCTGTTGGTGTTCTGTTGGTGGGGTTTGTGTTGGTGTTCTGTTAGTGGGGTATCTGTTGGTGTTCTGTTGGTGGGGTTTCTGTTGGTGGGGTTTTATGTTAGTGGGGTTTCTGTTTGTGTTCTGTTAGTGGGGTTTCTGTTAGTGGGGTTTCTGTTAGTGGGGTTTGTGTTGGTGGGGTTTCTGTTGGTGGGGTTTCTGTTGGTGGGGTTTCTGTTAGTGGGGTTTCTGTTGGTGGGGTTTCTGTTGGTGGGGTTTGTGTTGGTGGGGTTTCTGTAGGTGGGGTTTCTGTTGGTGGGGTTTCTGTTGGTGGGGTTTCTGTTAGTGGGGTTTCTGTTGGTGGGGTTTCTGTTGGTGGGGTTTCTGTTGGTGGGGTTTCTGTTTTGCCCTCCTCTCTATTACACCTTTTTCGTGGCACAGATGTTTCCATCCGATCAGATGAATGTTTGGGGTCAAACAAGCTGAGAGAGCCGGACAGCTGTGGACTCCTTTAGAAGCAGCTGATCTGGAGAATCAGGAGAACAGATCAGCATCATTCAATTCAATTTTATTTATATAGCACCAAATCATAACAATAGTTGTCTCCCAGCTTTCCAAACAGAGCAGGTCAAACCCTACAACAGTTCCCACCAAGAGCAGCACTAGGAGACACAGGGAGGGAACAACTTCCCTTTAACAGGCAGAAACCTGGAGCAAAACCAGAGAGGGGGGGCATCTGCCTCGGCCAGTTGGGGGTGAGAGGGAGAGAGGGAGAGAGGGACACAGAGAGGCAGCCTACACAGCAACACAGACTGGATAAAAATGGCAATGATATTGTTACTAATGATAATGATAG